GTGTATAAGCTGACCCAGATCCTCTGTTTCACTGTCAGCGCTGACGGGTCACCACAGGAGTCTTTTGTTAGTTGGGGACTGCAGTATGTGTTATGTCCGAGCAAACACGACTCACCAGTGCCTGCATTCATCATGTGCAGTGACCGTTTCTGGATCAGGGGTTGTCACCTTAAGTGTACACTTAATAGTTAGGAGTGCTGATTGAGAATCAGTTTTGACCCCTCATATCCTGATAAAGAGTATTATGTTGACTAGAAGAGACTGATCCTAGATGATTACAGAAAGCTGATCATGTTCTTATAGTGAAAACCCAATACAAGCCCTGATCCCAGATCAGTTCTTTATGAATGCAAGCACTGGCTAAAGGTGAATAAAAACAGAGGAGTGTCTAGTTCGTATTTCAGCCCTGAAAGTAAATAAGGAAAATTTATTACGAATTATATTTTGCATGACGAAACTAAAGCCTATTTGTAGCATATGAACTGAAGCCTATTTGTGTTATTTATGTTTTTAGTTTTTTTTTTTAGTTTTCATTATTCTGAATGTCACAGTACGAGTGTCATGCTGTCTAGAACACAGTAATCCAAAAAAACACTAAACAAAAGAAGAAAAAAAACTAAATTCAGTACTACAAATACTACCCTGATGTAAATTACTTTATTATATAGTGACATTAAACGTGTGTGTGTGTGTGTGTGTGTATATTTTATACATATATGTGCGTGTTTATATATGTATGTCTGTGTGTATTTATTTGCGTTGCAGTAATGTAAATGGGGTGGAGGGATCTTAGTGATCCTAAAAGCATGCTTGAAATAACCTTTTTTTTTTTATTATTATTATTTTTTTTTTCTCGTGCCAGTGGTATACAATGGTTGTTTAGAATGGAAGACTACCAGACTTTTTTTATTTATTTATTTTTTTTTAGCATGCATGATGTAATTACAAACATTAAAATTAGAAATGCTCATGCTACATAGTGATGTAACCTCATCATGGGAATAAAAAACTATTTCAAAATTGCGAAAATGTTTTAGTATTCCTGACTTAAATTCATAGAGACCATTGTTTCCTTTCAGAATCGGAAAGTTGAATAGGTCTTCAGTTTTACAAAAAATGCTCTGATGTCACCCATTTAAATTTGTTTGGTGGAAAACTCCGGAGGTATAAAGTAATGTGATATTTATCTGCATATTAACTGTACTGTGTTCTTCTGTTCACGTGCAGCTAAGTCGAAGAATCACAGTAACGGCAATGCAAGAGCTCAACGAATCAACTCTGGGCTCCACAGGAACAAAAAGCAGGTGTGATTCATTTGTAAAAAGATCGTTTTTAGTTTCTGAATCTTTTATGAATATCTAGAGTAACTGAAAATACTACTGCCATACAATACGCTTCATTACATTATATAATGCCTCTATTTGCATCCACAACAAATCTAGAACCAGGCAAAACAAAAAAATAATAATAGCCTGAAATGTGAGTCTTGGCCAGTATGAAAATAATCAAACGGGTCTAAATCAAAAGAAAATGTTTCTTTGCATCCTAAAAGTGATAATTTAACCAGGAAGCTTTAAACGAAAGCTTTTACTCCAAAACACTTTTTCCACTCCAGGTTCTTTGTTTATTTTTGGTAAAAGCAAAAAGCTGATTGCAAAACATGTACTACAATCAGCCGCTATGACCAATAACCTCTCAGCACGCAACGATCGCAATAACGATTTGTCACTTTAAGTTGATCAACAGTGTTTCTGTGTCCGGTTTGGTCTTGGGACTGGTGTCGACAAACATTCGTTTGAACTCCGTTAGCTTTGGTTGGCAGAGCCCATGTCGGGGCACTCACTATGCTTACCCTGGCAGGTATGACGCTGGGCTGTATTTGGGCCCGTCGTCCACGCTCTACACTGCTGGCTCTGATTTATCGATTGGCGTGTAATCTAGAATTATGCTGAGCAGGGTTCAGCCAACCACTCGAAGCTAACCGGCCCGCTTTGTGGTTACCTTGTTGACAGCTGGCCTGTGCGAATGTGCGTAAACTGTCTGGCCACTGTGTTTCCATGTCCGGCGGGTCTGTTCACACTTCCTGGCCCTTTGCTCTGAGTTTGTGTATGTGTCCATGCTCTGCTACAGATCTGTAATTCACTGCCATGTGACCGTAGAAGATTGTTTGATGAGAGACTGTAGGGCTACAGTAGGAAAATGTCCCTTGGAGCTGTTGAAGTCCACATAAATGCTCCTTTATAAAGATATAAATCTATGTTTCAGCACTTTGTCATATGCATTTACCAGCACTTTTTTTTTTTGTTACATAATTGTATAAAATTATAATTTTCAACAGAACCTTGCATAAAATGCAAAACATTTTATACAATGTATAAAATGTTTGCAAATGCATTTGCAAAATGCAATTAAGCACAATATTCAATGTAAAGTAACGCGAGTAGTGCTTTAATTTTATCCATCACAATTTATTAGATTATAACCTTAGGCTGTGATGTTATTGGTTAATGTTGGTTTTTCCCACCCACATGTCTTCAACAGAAAAGTTGTTTCAGAGGTGATGGAAATTTTTTTATTTTATTTTAACAACTATTAAGTACAGCATTTGCAATAAATTACATTTGCTTATTCATAAATGTTATTCAATGTAAAACAAAAACCAGTTATTTTCCCAGCACCCATATTCACCTGTGTCTCTGATTCTTTATCCTCTGCCAGTGTTGACTGGTTCATGATTTGGTCGAGTGGCTGATTTATTTTCATATTCAAGTAACGCCCACATCTTTAACCCATAGCCCAGAGGACTAATTAGTTCTTATCAGGCCTCTCCCTTGTCTCAGGCCTGATTTATGCCATATCAGCCCATGAACGAGACCACTATCCTTTCGCTTGTGTGAATGCATTTATGAAAACAAGAGATGTAATGAATCAGAATTGTTTTTGGGGGGTTGAGGGGTCATTTAATTTTTCATCTGACTGAATGACTCTGTAAGTTAAAATGCTACCATATTAAGCATTCTCCCATCATGTGTCATATAAGTCTTGTTCCTCTTCTTCTAAAGTGATTTTTTGTAAGGGCACTTAGCCGTTTCTTATCCTCTTGTTTTCCATTAGCTGTTGCATTATGGGCCAATATCATCCTCCACCATGCCCTGGTGTTGTTAACTAGCCCTAATCAACAGGCCCGCTGCTGGACACATCTTTCACTGGGCCCGACTCCTCTATTAACTAAAAGCACTGTGGACCTCTCCTCACAATTGCCACTCCCCCATTACTGCACATCAATCACACAAACACACACGCGCCTGTTTCACAGCATCGCCTGCCGTCCCCCATTTAATCCAGATCATCAGTCACACCACAGACCCTGGTCCTGATTTTTGAATGCAACTGAACTGTGTCTCAACGAACAGGAGGTCTGGGTATTCCGGACTACCTCACAATATGATGCACATTGTGATACAGGTGTCAACACATTGTCATGCACGGCAACTGGATCGCAGTTGAAACTGCATCAGACAAGTGAAGAAGATGCTGCATGGGAGTGAATCTTCAGGATCAGTTTCACATGCACTCCACTTTTATCATGTGTAGTGCCTCAGAAGTGTCTCTAAACACTTCAAAATGCTAATTTGACAGTTGTAGAGAACCTACTCTGTTGAAAAAGCCAGCATATGCTAGTTAGGTATGTTTTAAAGCACGGCTGCTGGTTTAAGCTGGTCATGAGCTGGTTTAAGCTGGTCCTTAGCTGGTCATGTGCTGGTCCTAAGCAACTAGCTCCTGCTCAGGACCAGCACATGACTAGCTTAAACCAGCTCATGACCAGCTTAAACCAGCACCCATGCTTCAAAACATACCTAACCAGCATATGCTGGCTTTTTCAACAGGGTAACTGCTTCATTAATAGATTTGTAGGAAACCATACAAGCATTCAAATTAAGATTGATTATGACTGGCATTGACAGTTTCTGGCAGATTTAAGAATCACAAGCAGGTTTTTTGTAATCTTAAGAGCCTGTGGTAGGTCTAGGGTTGTAGACCTGTTCTAGTCTGTGTTGTGGCAATGCTTTGCGACACACTCTCTAGCGTCTTTGTTGGAGCCAAGGGATTCCCCAGAGTCCCTACGGCGCTCCCAGATCGAATATCGGATAGACAATGAACATTTCGTCATTCGCTGCACACTCTTTGCCAGTAACTAGAAATGATTACAGCCTCAATCAGATTTGCCAGCCCCCTTTTGCAAAGCTAATTGGTAATTTCAGCCGCACCTCTTGTGGAAGACCACTGAGGCGGGAAAGAGCAGCAGCACTCTTTTTCCCTTTTCTTTCGTCCTCATCCTTTTCTTTTTGTCCACTCCTGGCATTTGTGAATGGCGTGCTTCTGGTGGGTGGGGGGTAGGTGTGAGATGTGCTCCAGTAGCTACAGATGCCCACTTTTTAGTAGAGACAACAGGGTGTTGGTTTACATCAGCTCCTCAGTGTGAACAAGAATCGGGGTCTCGTACGGGATTCCGCTTACCAGAGAATTCACTGGATTCTGCCGGGGGTCTTGGCTTGGGCCCTGCTCATTGTTCCTTCAGACATGCCACAAAAGAGACCTCAAGGTGGGGGGCCGATCTGGCTCTCTTGCATGGTCAGATCAGGTCTCTGGGGTCACAGCTTTATCAGTGAGGTGAACGTTAACAGGGCTAAACTCTGAGGACAGGAAGAGTAGGGGAGATTGATTTGGAGATGTTCTGTATTAAATTGTATGTTTGGGGTGGGGGGGGGTGTTCCACTGAAATTACTTTTCTTTGACGTTGGCAATTAAAGACATTTGTCGCCACCTTTAACATTTTGATAGCTCATAGATCAGAAGTGTCCAGTCCTGCTCCTGGAGGGCCAGTGTCCTGCAGAGTTTAGTTCCAGCTTGCCCCAGCACACCTGCCTGGAAGTTTCTAGTGATCTTTAAGACTTTGATTAGCTGGTTCAGGTGTGTTTAATCAAGGTTGAAGCTAAATTATGCAGGACAGTGACCCTCCAGGAGCAAGATTGGAGCAAGTTTTGGCAGGTTTTTGCAAGCGCATCCTTTTCAGTTTAGAAGACTTTGCCTTTTGATTGTTGGTTGGTGCTTAAGCACATTTTCGGAGTTGCATGTAATTTTCCCTTATCTCATTGAGGCTTTCAGAACTGACAGCAAACATACTTTCCCCCCAGGAGGTGCTGATGATGTTGGATAACTACGTCAGAGATTTCAAAGCTCTAATCGACTGGATCCAACTACAGGAGAAGCTGGAAAAAACAGACGCTCAGAACAGGTGATAATATGCTTGCAATCTAAATGGGCACATTCCATATATTTCTGTTGTTGTTGTTATATACAACTAGTTAAGTTTATTTATTTATATATATATATATATATATATATATATATATATATATATATATATATATATATATATATATATATATATACAGCCTGACAGCCTGA